AGACGGTGTCCAGGCCAGCGGGAAGAAGTCACACGGAGAGATGGTGGGGAAGAGATTCAACTACTTCTCCACCTGCTTTTCCATTTAAGCCTAAGGCCAGGCGACAAGGAGACGGGTCCCCACACCTTCCCCTGCCCCTTCCACTCTACTTCCCGCTCACCAGACTTCTGCATCGCTGTCTCTGTGTCCTCCGCCCAGCGTCCGTGCCTCCATTTTAGAGATGAGAATGTAAAGCCTCCAAAACTGCCCAGGGGCAAACATCATGGAAGGGCGGAGCTGCCTGTGTGGCAGGTGGAGACTCCCAAGTTCCAGGGGAGAGAAGCAAAGTGAGCACCAGAGCTCATGTGTGCCTACCACTGGGTTTCAACTCCCAGGCCAGGCAGCTCGTCCCCAGCCTGTCGGTTCCAGGGAGGAACTGCGGCTTCTGGGGGTGGGGCCAGACTGGACAGACCCTGGGTCAGAGCCGAGCACCTCGAGACCCCTGCAGATACATGCTGGTGTGGGCCCATCAGCCGTTGGACCCCCAGACGCAGGTATCAGGCTTGGGGTGATGGAGGGCCGAGCGTTTGGCCCTGGGGGGGTCCTGATGTGTGTGTGGGCTCATGGCCCCATGACCTCAGTTACTCCAAGTCACGTCTGCAAGAGGATGCAGGGGTGACTCCTAGCGGGGCGACCCCAGAGACCGCTGTGGGTGGATGCCAGCACACACATGCCCACAGGCAGACCCATGCTGCTGTCCAGAGATCAATACATCAGGTCCCGTGATACGCAGGACCCAGACAGATACCAATAGTGCCCAGCTGTGAGCTCCAGTGGGGATAGTCCCCATACTCACAGCATCCTGGGGAGAGACACCACTCAGGCTGGGCTCAGTAGAGGGACCTGCCCCCTCCTGATCTCTCTCTGGCATGGTGCACTGCGGAAACCCATATTGGCTGGAACCTAGGTGCTGGCTCTTCAGGGATTTTTGAGAAATGCCCAACCCTGGTAGCATTGAGCCTGTCTGGTGGGAGGCTGGCTAGGCTCCGCCTGGCCCTCTGCTAGGAGACAGGGAGCCCTCTTCTTGGGTACATGGTTGTCGGGCAGCCCAGAGAGATCACCTAGGGTTTTGTCTCCACCCCACCGTGGGGGTCCCATGCCCAGCCGCAGCCACGTACAGATACCCACATAGACAGACCCTCATGGCCAGGTTCGCAGTCTCAGTGCTTAGCGTCCACACGCCTGAATAGGTCGATCTGTACTCACTTTGCCACAATCAGGGGCACACACTTCCTCGTCACACATAGTATGCACACCTGTCCCACCTCCCACACACTTCACTACAACCAGGCCACAGCTAGCCTCATGGCTGCCTCCTCTTGCCTCAATGATGCAGAGACATGTTCTCACCCCACAGGTGCCCCAACACCGTTAACACCTTCTAACACACTCTGTCTTCCCCCATACAGTCTCAAGGGAGTGGCAGGGGCACTTAGGATGGAAGCTCCTAGAGGGGAAGAGGTGGTGGGCTTCAGAACTTTACAGTACACCCCGGCTTACCCCCCATCCCGAAGGGGCCTCCTTGAGCCTCAGCCCCGGAATGATCTCCCAGAGCAGCCTTCCCAGCCTCAACCATGACCCAGGCGGCTATAGGATGGTCTCTTGAATAAAATCCCATGGGAAATAGGAAGGTTAACAATTTGAGGATTTTATTTATTTATTTGAAAGACAGAGATCCCAAGTAGGCAGAGAGGCAGGCGGGGGCGGGGGGGAACAGGCTCCCTACTGAGCAGAGAGCCTGATGTGAGGCTCGATCCCAGGACCCTGGGATCATGACTTGAGCTGAAGGCTGAGGCCTTAATCCACTGAGGCACCCAGGCGCCCCAAGGTTAACAATTCGAATATGGTTTTGGAAACTCAGGGTCAAGAGTTTTTCTTGGTACTTAAAGAAAATCTGACTCCAGTGTCAAGATACCTCAGAGCGATGGCCTTGACTTTGTGAAGGATTCATAGTCAAGGTGGAGTGAGTGTAAAGGGCAGGAGAGGCAAAACGAGTGTCACAGTGTTTTGCAAAGGCTAATAAAATGAGGCTCAGAGGTGGCTTCTTAAAGAGGGACAGCCCAGATTGTGAGGCCTTGGAGCTTAGACATTCCTGGGTTCAGAATCCAAAAGCCACTCCTCGTCAGCTGTGTGACCTTGGGCAAATCACTCTCCTTCTCTGAGCCTACGTTTCCCCTTCTGTATAATGGGGAGAATGAGACCTTTCTTGTAGGGAAGAGGTATTTACCCAGTGACGGACACCCAGCCAGGACAAGGAGTCTCACTTCGATTCCAGAATCCACTCTGCCTCTTCGATGTTGACTGACTTGCGTCAAGTGGTTTCAGCCCTCTGAGCCTTGTTCCTATATCCGTACGAAGGGGAAAGCTTTCGCCACTAGAGTGATGGGAGTGTTCACCAAGTCCATGCGTGGGAGCAGCTAAGCCTGGTTCCCCCAGACAGCCATGTGGCCGGTATGCGGGAACCACGGTGATCCCAGCCATACCCCGATATTCCTCGAAGCCCCCAATCGTCATAACTGCATCATTCTTATTGGAAGAAGCTGGGACTTGGAAGACAGAGCAACCTGGCTTCATATCACTCTGTCATTGGACCACTTGGTGATGCTGGAAGGCAGAGAGTCCTTGAGTTTCTGGCTCCACATCTATAAGTGGGGGGAGCCCCAGCATCTACCCCAGGGGCTGCCGTGAAGAGAGGCCAGGCACCCAGCATGGGCGGTAGGGGTCAATCAGCCGGAGGGAGAGTTGAAGAGAGAAGACAAGCTCCCCTCTTTCTGGAAACCAGGCAGTATCTCTCTGGCCTGGGACCGGAGTGGGCTTCCAGATGGAGTTTTCTGGTTAATGAGGGTCCACACACCTGTGTGCGGTGTCCCATCTCGTAGCCGTGAGTCTTTAGCTCCAATGCCTGACTCCTCTCCCAGGCCTCACTTTGGATGGCACATTCTCTCAAATCTTCCTAGGGGTGACTGATTTCTGGGGCTCCCCTGTGAGTGCCCTGGGCTACGGGATGGGACACTAGTGATATTTGGGGTGTGACAGTGCCTTACTTGAGGGGGGATGGAGTGCCACCCTGTACGGAAGAGAATCTGTGTGGTCTCTCCGCCTCCCTGTCATTTGTATGTGGGGAAACTGAGGCCCAGAGGACCTCAGGGTGGGTCCACAGCACACTGACCACTTCTAGCCACCACAGCCACTGCCAGCTCCCTCACCAGCCTGGAGCAATTGCTGAGGACAGTGAGGGAGACAGGACTGGATGGTGCAAGGCTGGAAGTTAGCTCTGGAAAGTCACCATTTACCCAAATTCCAGATGTCTTGTCAGTTTGCTAGATTTACCTCTGCCAGGAAAGACTTCGGGCTCCTGGGTGCCAAGTGCTAGAGATAATCCCCAGGATGACAGCTGACCTTTAAAACGATCACTCCCAAATTCCCTCCCTCCTGCTCCTCCACCATTCGGCTGCCCAGGGGACAATTCTGTATCCTTTCCCTGCATGCAAACCTAACATATGCGTGTGCGCCAACCGGGAGGTTTCATGCTCAAGAAGGACCGGGAGACAGGGATGGAGGTGCATGGTTTTTGCAGCTTGCTTTATTTGGTTGGGGAGATGATCTCCAGTAAGTTTTTGCCAACAGTGGGTCCTTCGGTTTGTCCCGTAACCTCACGGCTTGAGCCCTGTTGCCCTCAGGGGCACAATGAGAGCTTACTCCAGACCTTGCAGAGTTTTCCAGAAGGGGCAGTGAGAGGATGTCAGTAAAGTTCCCAGCAGAGTAGATCACAAGCAGCAGGCACTCAGTAAACAACACCAATGTCTGGGCTTCTGGTTTTGGTGCGCTGTCTGGACAGTGTCCTTGGTTTTACCTGACAGCTGTGTTCTGGAAAGGTTCAAGCAACTCCAATTTGAGAACAGCTGACCTCAATTTTAAATGGGCATCATGAGCCTTTCGATAGATTTGACAGGGGCAGTAAAAAAATTTTAAAGATTTATTTATTTCAGAGAGCGAGAGAGAGTGTGAGCATGTTGTGGGGGTTCAGAGGGAGAGAGAGAGAGAATCTCAAGCAGACTTTGCTGATCTCGGGGCCTCATGAGGGGCTCCATCTCACGACCTTGAGACCACGACCTGAGATGCAATCAAGAGTCTGACGCTCAACTGACGGAGCCGCCCAGGTGCCCCTAAACATTTTTTAAATTTGTCTTAATTACTTTAAAAATACATATTCACCATACAGAAAGCTAGAAATGGTTTTAAAAAGATCAGAATAAAAATTGCCTATGATGCTACTCTATTAGTTAGTGTTCTCCAGAGAAACAGAATTTGTAGGAGTTACATACGCACACACATACACACACGTTAGGAGATTTAGTTAAGGAATTGGCTTGTGCAGTTGTGGAAGCTGGCAAGCCTGAAATTTGTAGGGTAGACCAGCTGGCTGGGAACTCAGCAGTTAATGCTGCAGCCTTAAGGTAGAATTCCTTCTTCTCTGGGGAACCTCAGGTTTTGCTCTGGAGGCCTTCAACTAATTGGGTGAGGCCCACCCATGTGCTCCAGGGTAATGTCCTGTAAGTCTCCTTGACGTCCAGTATGTATAAATGTTAGTTACATCTACAAAATACCTTCATAGCCACACCTAGATGTATGTTTGATCAAACAACAGGGTGCCATGGCCTAGCCATGTTGACCTAAAACAACCATCATAGGGTTCCTGGGTGGCTCAGTTGGTTAAGCATCTGCCTTCGATTCAGATCATTATCTCAGGGTCCTGGGATCAAGCCCTGCATTGGTGGGGGGGGGCGGTCCTTGCTCAGTGGGGAGTCTGCTTCTCCCTCTCCCTCTACCCCTCCTCCCCGCTGGTGCTCTCTCTCAAATAAATTTTAAAAATCTTAAATAAGAAAATAAAAGCACTTTCTTCAGAAGGTGGTTCTCCAGCCGAAATCTGACTCCTGCTTTCCCCTCCCCCGGTTCTCCAGATGGAAGCGCAGTCTTCCGAGGCTGCTTCCACAGACCTGACAACCTCTCCCTGGCCTTGCCCGTGACAGCTGCCATGCCAAACATGTCCGTGGATAAGTGTGTGGACCTCTGCACCGAGAAGGTGAGCCAGGGGTCCTTCTCAGAGAATTACGGGAAGAGGCAGTATGGAACAGCTACAGGAAGCAGGGGCTTGGCTGGAGAGGCAGCGGCCCAGCCAGGATGAGGGGGTCATTTCTGTGATCTGTGACACAGGAGGGACACAACAGTTTCATGTGAATCTAAGGGGTAGAAGTTACTTGGGGTCTGTCTGTTTCCCACTGAGGAGGTGAGTTTATTCTAATCTCAGGAATGCTCAGGAATGAGGGTAACATTCTAACTTGGGCCCACAAGCATGAGATTGTCAGGGAAAGGCAAGGGCAGCCCCACTTTGAGACAGAGTGAGATCCTCGTCACTGGAGACATGCAAGTAGAGTCAGGGCAGTTGTCGTGTCCAGCTGAATCCAAAGGATTTGGGTGTTGGATTGAAGTTGAACTAGATGATTTGTGGGTCCTGTCTTAGCCCGAGATCCTGAGATCCTTCCTCCCTAACTAGACCATGAATTCCACAAGAGTAGGGGCTGTGCCTCGAACGTTGGTGCCCTCCCAACACCCAGAGTTGGGCTAGGCAGTGATGTCTGAGGAGCTCCATTCTTTCAAGATGAACTCATTCCATGAGGGTCCAAAAAACCACCCCTTCTACACCACAAAAAGTGGTTGCCCCTTTCATTCATTTGCTGATATCTACCAAGAAACTGCTTTGTGCCAGAACCCCGTGCTCAGTGCTGGGGATGCGGGCTCAACCAGATGCTGTGTTTGTCCTCAGAGATGCTGGCACTTGCTGGGGGCCGGCCTTGTGGCTCCTGCTGGGTGCTCAAGCCTGCACCCCAACTCACCAATGCCCCACGTCCCCTGTTTGTCTCACCCCTCTGAGCCTCCCGATCCACGAAGCCCCTCGTGGGAATGCCAAGAGGCTGTTGCTTCCTGAGCACACCCACTGTGTAGCCCTCTGCACCATGGGTCTCAGTTTACCTCTCACACGGAGACTTGGAGTTGAGGATTTTCAAGCCCATTTCACAGATGACAAAGCCAGTGCCCAGACAGGTGAAGTCACTTGCCTGAGCTCATAGCACAAGCAAGTAGGGATGACACCTGAGCCTTACTCCGCATCTACACTCCGAATTTCTGAGCTACCCTAGAGAGGCTTCCAGAACCATTCGAGGGCAGCCAGGCAAGTTCAAGTCACCGGTCAGCTGCAGGTGGGACACAGACAGGTGAGACAGTGAGGCCCCAGGTGAAGCAGCGCAACAATAAGTCAGACCGTATGCAGGACTGGAGGGGAGCGAGCGTGTGTAGATGGACAGGAAGGCCCCTCTGCAAAGCTCCCTCTTCTGGTTTCCTCCGATCTCCTTAAGGGTCACAAGAGAAAAATTGAGGGGATCCTGTGGGCAGGGGTACAGAACTACCTGTGCCGTGGGGTAGAGGGTAGGGGATTTAGGCAATCGGCCGAGGCTCGATGTGTATCACCTGTTAGAAACGCCATCAGTCACGCCCCACGCAGCCCCGCCTGCGTACCAGCATCTGGCTGTCCCTCTCTTTCTGCCTCTGCCCTTCAGCGGAGAGGTAAAGTTCCTATTCAGTATGTGTTAGGAAGAAGCCGAACCTATTATGCAAAGTTTGCAGGATTGGCCACAGAGATGCGACCTTGGTGTATTACTAGGTTATTCCTGTCGAGGAGGGTTCAGGGCTGCGGGTCGGACAAAGGACAGCAAACCTGAGCCCCACCTCGCTCCGGCTCAGCTGTTCCGCAGAACAAATTAAGAAGTTAGGAGCAGCTGTCCCCAAGAAGAGCGTAGCTGACGTGGGGATCCGTGTCCTCTTTGGCTTAAAAGTATGGGCTCAGACAGCTTTTCCCAAAGCATGGGCTTCAGGTCCCTCTGAGAGCCGAGGCTTTCCGGTGGCAGGGCGCAGGACGGTAAGAAAAGCAGTTTCTTTGTAGTTTTCTTTCCAGTCCTCCAGGAGAAAGCTCCGTCTCCGTGCTCAGGTGTCTCTAACGCCTCTCAACCCTCCACTAATCTCCCCTTTGCAGGAAAAGCAGAGCCCATGGGGACTCAGAGTCTTGGCAGGCAGAGTGCCTCCTTGGAAAGTAATTACATTGTTTCTTTCTATAGTATTTGCAGAATGTACCAAAGTGCCTGGTTTTATTTGTCAATTGTACCTCAATTAAGCTGGAAAGAAATGCTAGCATGGGAGGGACGCGAAGAGGGGCAAACTCATCCAAGTGAAGTTTGGGGACCTTTCAGGCTGGGGACGATTGGAACACCAGGCCTGGTCTGCATGGGGAGTCTGGGCCGTCCGGGGATTTAGTGACGCTCTTCCTTCTCATCTCCCCTGTCCAGGAGTACCCGCTGGCCGCCCTCGCTGGCAATGCCTGCCACTGCGGGTTCCCCACAACGCGATTCCCCCTCCACGAGAGGGAGGACGAGCAGCTCTGTGCCCAGAAGTGTAGTGCAGAAGAATTTGAGAGCTGCGGGACTCCCAGTTACTTCATCGTGTACCAGACACAAGTCCAAGGTAAGCCGGGGTTCTCCCCGCGGACGTCCCCCCCCCCCCCCAGCAGAGGGCTCCCGGCCAGCCCATCCCAGCCTATCCCGCTCCGACTGTGTAGGCCAGAGTGCAGAGGCAAGGACAGGGCTGGAGAACTTGGCCTGGCTCAGTGATCCCAATGGACAGCAGAGGCAAGGGATGTGGAGGTTCCAGAGACCCTCATCTCTGTCCCTCCTACTGAGCCCCCACCTGGGTGGCTCGTCTCCCGTGGTAGAGGCTGTGAGATTGAGGGTGATGTCATTGGGGCTGGGAGTGGGGGATGTGGGTGACCAACCCAGACCTGCAGCAGGATCCTGGGCAAGTCACGTCCCCTTTCCGGGCTTCAGTTTCCCCATCTGCAAAATGCAGCTCTAGATGGTTGATCTCTAGGAGCCCTTTCAATTCCAAGAGTCTGTCCATTTATTTATAAAATCTTCTCTTTCTTCATCTTCTGTCATCTTCTCTTTGCTGGAAGGACCTCGGCTTCTTGCCTGGCTCCCCTCCCGACTCTTGGGGCTGCTGGCCCATAATGGTGGCAGTGCTGAGCGTCTCCTGGTGCCCGAGTCTGTGTTGAGTTCTTAGTTCATGCTTTCTCGCTGAATCCTCTCGGCTCTCCCGGGAGGTGGGAATAGTCAATATGGCTGCTTTAACAGGCAGGGAAACTGACACAGAACCGTTAAGGGCCTTGCCCCAGGTCACGCTGCTTATACAATTTCTAGCTGAAAGCCATTTCCCCAGACTGAGGCATCATGAAGTGTGGGTAGCACACAGGGTGCTGGGGCACTCAGGCCAAAGGAAACCCTTGCTGAGTTACCCCAGTATCTGAATATCTGAATATGCTGACCACCTACTAAGCACGGGTCCCTTGCCCCACTTCAGCTCCCTGAATGATGTAAAGCCCATAGTAAGCCTACAATCAGGACGACATCATCTCTGTTTTCCAGGTGGGAGAAGCAGCACTCTGAGGTTGGGAACCGGCCACAATTGCACTCTATGAGAGTGCTTTGTTTTCATGTCTCAGACTCCAAAGCCCTTGCTAGAAAACTCTGCCCACAGAGCAAAGAACAATCCCCATACCCCCTGAAGCCTGGAGATACAATGAAACATGATTGGGCTAGACCTCCTTTTCATCTCCCAGGAACTGGGCTTCCATGTACGGTTGGGCAGGTTGAGCACTGCACAGTCACAACTTGTAAGATAAGTGGTGCCCAAAAGCCAGGCCATGCTCTGCACTCTGGATAGCAGCACTTCTACCCAGAGGAAGGGGAGGGTGTCTTTTTCTAATGGGCACAAAGGTGTCTAAAGAGCTAGTGGCAGCTCCAGTAAGAGCTTGTCCCCTGTTGGGTCCGATGGGGATACCAGTAGCAGCCTCCTGGAGCTCCTTCTGTGGTACTTGAAGTTGTGCTAAGAGCCCAGTGAGCAAGAATCTAGTAAGTGCAGCTCTTGGCTTTGTTTATAGCACAGCGAGGAGGGATGAACATGTGTTAGCATTTAGGAAGTGTGGGTGACTCTCTGCAGAACCGTGTGGCCCTGGCCTAAGGCAGAGTCATGCACAGATTAATTATTCCGTGACTGTGAATGGCTTTGATGTGGACGGAGTAGACAGTGGAGTCTTTTCAATAGCCGATAAAGAGCCCCTGATGGATGGCTTTGCTCATCCCCTGGGCCATATCCCCAGGCCATTACTGCTCTCCAGTTTTTCCATGACAGGCTTGCAGTCCCTCACACTGGCAAGGTTCGAGAGACCCATGGTTTATTAGGTTGCCAAGAGTCTGGTCCATCATGATTGCCATTTATTCTGCATTTGCTGCGTGCTAAACCCTGACGTTCCTGCCGGGAACAGGATTCTCCAACACCTACTGTGTGCCAGGTGCTGTCCAAGCCCTTGAGACTGAATTAACTCATTCAGTCCTCGCAAGGACCTAGGTGCCCGTATTATTACTGGTCCACAACTGTTCAAAAATTCTAAATACTTAGAAATATTCTGAAATATACAAAAGTTCTAAAATGACTGTCTTCCAACTTGGCGCAGAGAGGTTGGGTAGCTGGGCCTGAGTGGCACAGCTAGGACGGGGCAGAGCTGGGATGCAGACCCAGGTGGGGTCTGAATCCTGGGCAACCGGAGCTTCTCAGTATCCATTGAAAATGCTTCCTACGTATTCTCCATTTCATCCTGTAGGGAGATTAGCCCCATTTTCCAGGAAGAAATGGGCTCTGAGAGGGAAAAGCCTTGTTCATGCTTGGCTGTGACAGCCTTGGCGTAAGACGAGCTCTGATTCCAAAGCTCTAGCACCTGCTTGGACTTTTGGAGCTATCTTTTTCAGGGCTGAAATAAACAAATAAACTTTATTTTGCAGGCTGAACACAACAGCCTTTACCTCAAAATGGGTCTTGACCTCCCAAGCAGCATTTGAATGGAGAATGCCATTTTCTGGAGAAATTGAGGGACTAGGGTTTTGTTTTCTGTTTTTGATTTTCCTCCCTCCCAACATTTTATGATGGGGAAAAAAAAAATGTCAAACCTCCAGAAAAAAACTGGAATCACACCGTGAACACCCACGATGCATCCCATAGACTTTTTATTATACAGACTCAACCTTCCATCTCTCCATTTTGCCATCCTTCAATCCTTCTTATTTTTTTCGTGCGTTTCAAAACACCCTTGACCCTTGAATGACATGGGGGTCAGGGGTGGTGATGACCTCGCGGGTGTGGTTGAGAAATCCACATTTAACTTTTTTTTTTTTTTTAAGATTTTATTTATTTATTTGACAGAGATCCCAAGTAGGCAGAGAGGCAGGCAGAGAGAGACAGAGGGAAGCAGGCCCCCTTCTGAGCAGAGAGCCCGATGCAGGGCTCGATCCCAGGACCCTGAGATCATGACCCGAGCAGAAGGCAGAGGCTTAACCCACTGAGCCACCCCACACATTTAACTTTTTTTTTTAAGTTTTATTTATTTTTGAGTAATCTCTGTGCTCAGAGTGAAGCTTGAACTCACAAGCTGGAGATTAAGAGTTGCATTGCTCTCCCGACTGAGCCAACCAGGCACCCCCACATTTAACTTTGGACTCCCCAAAAACTTAGCTCACAGCTTGCTATTGGTCAGAAGCCGTATTGGTAACACCAGTGTTCAGTTAACCTATATTTTGTATGTTACTTTTGTTATACACCGTATCCAAATAAATAAGCTAGAGAAAAGAGAATATTATTAAGAAAATACATTTATTATTATTATATTATTATATTTATTATATATTATATATTATAATATATTATTATATGTTATAAAATTATTATATATTATTAATATTATTAAGGAAAACACATTTATGGTCGTGTACTGGATTTATTAAAAAAAAATTCTATGTGTAGCAGACCTGCACAGTTCAAACCCAGGTCTTTTGAAGGTCAACTCTAAGTTGCATTATTACATGTCCATGTACATATCTTTAATTATAATTCAATATTTGCTATTTTTGGCTTTCTAAAAATATTTTTGGCTTTCTAAAAATATTTTTGGCTTTCTAAAAATATTTTTGAATTTGGCTAATTGATTTTTTTTTTTTTAAGATTTTATCTGACAGAGAGGGTGCAAGCACGCACACAAGCAGGGGGGCAACCAACAGGCAGAGAGAGAAGCAGGCTCCCTCTGAGCAGGGAGCCCGATGCAGGGCTCTATCCCAGGATCCTGGGATCATGACCTGAGCCAAAGGCAGAGGCTTGACCGGCTGAGCCACCCAGGCTTCCCACTATTGATTTTTTGAAGTAACATTTACATAGCATGTAAGATTTTAAGGGGACCATTCAAAGTCAACAGGATAATCCGTACCCGTATCAAAATATAAGACCTAACCAAGAATTTTACACACCTAGTCTTTTTCTGCAGTGTTTCCAGGAAAACTGTCCCCAGGCACCCACTTGGCATTAACAAAGACCAAAACTGGATTTTTTCTGAAGTCTGCTCTGAACATACTGAACCTGGGGCGGTGGGGGGGATGGAGAACTGGGGCCCCCCAACTGGAAGCCACAGCATGAGGTGTGGTTGATCAGAGCTCTAATGTGGGAGCCCCGTGTTCATACACCTTCCCTCCTGTGACCTTCCCAAGGGCACCACTGTCTCAGTAGTCCCATTTTATAGGTGAGGAAAGTGAGGCTCAGACCCGTCATTTTTCCCAGGGCACCCAGCAAACAGGTGGCAGAATTGGAATTTCAGTTTAGGAACTCAGACATTTTCTTGATGGGCTGTTATAAGACATCAGTGTGGCTCCCAGCAAGATCTTGGTAAGGGCAGGTCCTGCAGGACAGGAAAGACAACCCTGGGAGGAATTCTGTGGAGGAATTCTGTGAAGGGCAGGACGGGGCATGGTGTCAGGTGCTGCACAGAGCTCCAGGAGGTCACCAGGGACTCTAGAGGGTCTGGGTCTGTGCATGAACAGGGCGGAGTTCAGAGGGGAGCTCCTGGGAGCAAGGAGGAGCAGAAAGAGGGTAGAATGGCGAGTGTGGACAGCTCAGCCAGAGGTGGGATGGGAATGGGATGAGAACAGAGAGGTGTTCCTTTAAAGAGATTTTTGTAATGATGGCATGATTTGTTCATGTGTGAGTATGGATATGATAGAGCCAGCTGGATGAGAGAGAAGGGGAGGAGGGAAGAGATGGGGACCCAGGCACGGGAGCGGTGATAGCCCTTCTCCCTTGGGAGTGGGAGGGAAGGAGGAGCGTGGGGAGGGGGGGGGCAAGGGGTCTGATGGGCTCAGGGGCAGGCGAAACGTGCCAGGGGTACAGGGATGTCTGCTGTCCCTTTGTGGTAACTAAGGATCGAGCTCATTGGTCTCAAGTGAGGAGGCAGGGCTAGAACCCCAATCTAGGATTTTCTCCTCTCCTTCCCCTGCTGCAGAGTCCCCTATGCTGGGCCTTCCCTCAGCTTCCCTTGTATCTCTAGGGGTCAAAATAAATCAACACGGTGCCTTCTGTGCTGCAGTGGGAGGTGTTGGGGCTCTGACAACAGGAGCACCCTCAGGACTCTATAAAGCCAGAGAATCTAGACATACACATGAGGAGGATGAAAACTAAAAAGAAAAAAAAAAAAAGAGAGAAAGGAAAAAATCTCCCCTTTGAGCACTTTATCGTATTAATGTATTTATATGTATTATGTCAATCCTTACAAGATTCCTATAAAGTAAATACTATTATTCCCCGTCTACCCACCCACTCACCATCCATCCTTCCACCCATTCACCTACCTACACATCTGTCATCCATCCATCCACCCAAGACGCTTTTATTATCCCTACTCTGTGCCAGAGGATATAGAAAGTGCTAGAGAATAAGCAAAGGGCATTATCAACAAATCATCCTTCGAGTAACAATGGAGATGAGCGACAAGGAGGGGAAGGACCCCATTCGGGAAGGCTAACCTGGGGAGGAGGGAAGCCAGGCGGTGCTGATTCGGCAGAGGACAGGGAAATAAAACATCGGCCTGGCAAAAGCAGGGGTGGTGGGGACAGCAAAGTCTCTTACTGTCCCTGGGGGTGCTGCTGGATCAGGAAGGAGCAGAGCACAGACAGGAAGTGGAGGGACCCTGGAGGCCGGCAGGTGGGTGGGAGGGATGAGCCTGGAAGGAAACATGAGCCTGGCCACACCTGTCTTGGAAGCCAAGGTCAGAACCCTGGATCGGACCCCATGTAGGCAGATGACTTTGGAGGGTTGTCTTCTTGAGCAAAGGATGGTGGGGGTGGTGTGAGAATGAGTCTCCATGCTGGGGGGGAGATTGAGGCAGGAGATCAGAACTAGCCGATGTTCATTGAATTCCTGCTACGGGATCATCCCTCCCTCCTCATCCGTGGTCTCCTTCAACCCTCGTGTCAACCCAGTGATGAGGAACCGTTTTTCTCCTTTTAGCCATGGGAAGGGAGGGGGCCCGGGGAGAGTCCCAGCACACGACCTGGGCTGCAGGGCTGGGAAGGGGTCGGGGTGGGACTCACGCCCTGCTCCCTTCCTGTCCAGCTCCATCTGCCTGCCCCTGACCGTGTCCTGCCCTTTGCAGACAACCGCTGCATGGACCGAAAGTTCCTCCCAGCCAAGTCCAAGCAGCTCATCGCTCTGGCCAGCTTCCCCGGTGCCGGCAACACTTGGGCTCGCCACCTCATTGAACTGGCCACCGGCTTCTACACCGGGAGCTATTACTTCGACGGTTCCCTCTACAACAAAGGTGAGGAGGCCGGAGCGGACCCACCTGGGGGGAGGGCAAGGGAAAACCCTTCCTGCGTCCCTACTGTGTGCCACTTGGCTCACCTGGGCATGGTTGCTAGGACCTACTGTGCGCTCGGTACCCTGCCTCCTTGTATGCTCCACAAACTTTGCCTGAGCAGCATCTATTCAAAAAGGGACATTTATCAAGCACCTAGTATGTGCGTGCTATCTTCTCTCTCTGGCTAGGGCACTGCAACTTTCCTGGAGTGCCAACTCTAGGCAGGTCCCTCGCCACCAATGTCGATGGACCAGCATCTCTGTGCTATATAAAGAAGGAGAGAATGAAGCTCATTTTGGGAGACATTTACTGAGCACCTACTATGTACCAAGTGTCCTACGTACCCTGAAGCCAGTGGTATCTGTTGTGCGGGTGCTTTATTTTCCTTCTGCTCACAGATGTTCACTGAGCGTTGCTCGGCTCCAGAGGCACTTCCTAAGTGTAGTCTCCTGGCAGGCATTTATGCGGCACTGTGTGCCATGTGCTTTGTGTAGGTTTAGATGGCCACGGACAGACTTCTTTGGCTGCCAAGAGCCATGCCAGGTGCTCCATTTTTAGCCCAGCATAATAACCCTAGGACATAGGATGTGGTACCATTTCCCAGATTCAAAAAACTGAGGCTTGGAGAGAAAAGGTTACTTACTCCAAGTCACGCAGATTGTTTTCAACAGGCTGGTGAGGGATTACAGCCTAGGCCATCCCAGTTTCAAAGCCTGCATTCTTACTATTCCCATCATCTGGGCAAGAAGACCCTGGGGGTTCTTACTGGGAAATTGAAAACCTTGGGTGAAAGCCCCATTGGATGTGAGGCCCCCTCCCAGCTCTGGCAGGGGCATCAGGGAAGCAGCTCTGTTTGTGAGAGGTTTTGTCTTTACGCGGGGCAGCCTGTGGCTGTGGGTCTTTGTGTCTGCAAACCAGATGAAGACCCGCTTACTGGCTGTGTGACTTTGAGCAAGTTTCTGCACCTCTCTGATCTGCGTCATCATGCACGAATCAGAGATCACGGTATGTCCCTGGTGAGGTCATTGTGAGAGTTAAGAAGTTGCTCCATGTAACAGGCTTAGCGCAGAGTGAGCATGCCATCAGTGTAGGCTGTGAACACTACAGTCTGGGGACCAGGCACTGGGAGAGCCAGGGGACCTCTGTCTGAGGGTGGGAAGCGGGAAGGAGGAAAGTCAAGAAGGATGAAAAGGGACAGGTTGAAGGATGGAGTTAACAAGCAGTAAGGTCTGTCTTAGGATCCCGATGTTCGGTATGACTGATTTTTTTCGTTTTGGCTTATGCAATCATTTATTGAGCATGAAATGTGTTCGAGGCTCCAAGGTGAGGGTTTTTCATGCTTATATCAGGATCTGAACCCAGGCCCAGCTGTCAACATTATATCCGTGCTTTTAACAAACACTTTGTCGTGCTACCTTTATGGGGGTTGTTGGGAGGAACCCAGGCAGAGTCTGGAATATCTCTGGCTTGTCCTGGAGAGTGGCAGGGAGAAGCAGACTCAGGAAGCATCCCATGGCTGGCCCTTGGGCTGGGGCAGGAACCCTATTTATGGAATTGTAGAATTTACAAATATAAGGGTCTTTCAGGATCATCAGTCCAGGTATTCAAAGTGGTTTCATCTCCTGTGTTCATTCCGATGAATCCCTGTTTTAGGTTGATGTGTTAAGAAGGATTCTGAGGTTCTCTTTAAGTGCCTTAATCTAGTAGTGATGCCTGTTGAGGGTGTAGAAGGGGGAATGGTGGGCTATGTGCCTGATAGGACCACCTCTGATCTAACTCAGCCTCCTAGCTTCAAAGGGAAACTGTGTCTTAAGACAGAGTCAGGACATTGACTCTTCAGACTGAACACTGGTAGTTATCAGGTGTGGGGCCTTGGGCAAGATTTCATTATTTCTCCGAGGTTCCGTTACCTCATTTATAATATGGGGATGTCAACAGCAAATGCACACTGGTTTTGAAAAAAGATATAAGACAATGTGTATGAGGCTCTGGTGTTAAAATACCATTGTTCAGTCCTGCTAACCCCAAGTCCCTCCCCACATGACCTCTGCAGCTTAAGGAAATCCTCAAACTCTGGGGGGTGGGGCATGGGGAGGGGGTTTGCAGCCCACTGGCTGCTTGGTCTGCTGCCCCCTTCGAGTGTCAGGCTCCAGGTAGGATGTGGTCTTCATAGTTCAAAAACATGCCAGCCACACGCCTGGATCATCAGTCCCCACCCCCACCCCATCCTAGCTCTTCTGCCTGGAAACCTGCTCTCCCCAAGCCGAGATCACAACCTCCTTCCAGCACCTCTGGCAGACTCCCACATCCACCTGCCCCATCTTCCTTGTTCCCAGAGCCCTCCTTCATCATGGTCCCTGTCGTTACAATACGTCATGTCGCCCTTAGTGATACTAAGTGTTGTGGGTGTTTATGGAATGTCTGCGATGGGCCCAGCTCTGGGGTGGGTGCTTTCCATATTTTGTGATTTAGTCTGGGGCAGGGGTGTGCAAAAGTATACAGGACTCCCCCCCCCTCCCCCCCAGTGGAGGAGGAGCCCCAGGGAGAGGCTGTGGATGGGGGCAGTGATGTGAGGAGCAGGGGACTGTGTGATTGGTCAATGGCCATTCAGTGGCATTGGACGGTGGCAGGGGTGAGGGTTGGGGGTGCGATGCAGGAGGGACAGCCAGGACTGGGTGGGTGAAGCCCTTGAAAGCATATTATGCTGGGGCCCCTGGCCCGGTGCGGAGTGGGGTATGGAGGGATCTCAGGCCGAGGAGTGGTGTGCTGGGATTTGTGTGTGTGAAAATACGCCTCTGGCTGCAGAACTTGGAGAGGATGTCCAGCTGCAGGGACAGTAGTGGGGACAGGGGACAGTGGGAAGGACAGTAGGAGCCCATTGATTGGAAGTGAGGGGCCTCAGGGATGGGCCTGGAGGGGGCTGGTTTCTGTAGGATGAGCTGATGCTCCAGGGACTCTGGCTTCGTGATATTTCAGAGTTTCCTCCCTCATCCCTGCAGCTAACTAGCTGGATAAGGGGGGACACCACCACCACCCAGCTTGAAACCTCCATCTCCTCCTGTGTAACAAGCTTGTGTTCAGTGGGTGACCCCCAGGGCCCTCCTAGGTCTAACGGGCTGCTTGGCACTTTCTCTGCAACCTCCTCTTCTCTCCTCCTGGCAACAGCCTGCCCCCCTGAGGGGCTGCTGAGTGAAGGAGGGGTGCAGGGGGAGAACATTCTCCAAGAATCCAAGTGTGTGTACCTCTTGCATTTTGCCCCCTCTTGCCCTTACCCAGAGAGGCTGGCCATCTGCAAAACATGATTTTCTCTGTGTCTGTGTCCATCTGTCTCTCTCTCCCTTTCTCCTTTTTTATGCCTCTCTTCTTCTTTTGTGTCTGTGTCTGCTTCTCCCCTTCTCCCTCCCTCTCCTTAGGCCCCCTCTCCCCTCTCTGTCCCCCTCCCCATCTCAGGGACCCCAGTGCCCAGAGTGCAGGCTCCAGCTCTCTGGGCTGAGTGAACCCCAAGGCAGGAGGGGCTGGGATGACTGCCCAGAGTTCGGCAGAGTCTTTCTCCGCTCCTTGGGGCCACACAGATGTGGCAGGGCATGGATGAGGCAGGCTCTTGGGGGCCTTTCCCTCCCCAGCAAACAGCAGGGCATGCAGAAATGTGGAGCCCTGCCTCCTGCCCCTCTCCCTGACGGCTTCTTTAACTGCAGATTGCACAAGCACATGTCATAGTGGGCAGTGGGGTGGAGAGAAGAATAAATAGCTTATTCTCCAAAGCCTCGACCATTGTCTGGCTCCTCAGAGTCTCTGAGGGTCCCATGCGTACCCCAGATGAGCTGCTATTATGGTGAACCCTCAAAGGAACAGGATTGAAATGCTCCACACAGATGCAATGGAGCTGGGTCCTGCGTCACAGAGGAGTGGAGAGGGGGCCCCCTGGTGGTGGAGTTCAGCAATTCTGCTCTGGCCCTCCGCTTGCATCCCTGATTGTAATCACCTAGAAGGCCCTCCCTGGAGGCTGCTGGAGCAACCATCTCTAGTTTCTCAGGCAGATCCCATGCAGATTCTTAAAGGCTCCTTCCTAGACACAGAACTCCTCTCTCTGGGAGGCATTGTGCTAAATGGAATTTTCTCCACCTACCTACTTTTGCAGTGCACCTTACAGACTAACTTCTTAGGAGACCTACATCTGGAGTCTAGACCAGGTCTTTTCCGATGTGCATAATCTTTGTTTCTTGATAAATGTGGTGCTGGGTTGACTCCACCACGTAACAGAGAAATGGACTCTAGGTCTCACAATGCACCAAAGCTGATTTTTTTTTAATTAACATATAATGTATTATTTGCCCCAGGGGTACAGGTCTGTGAATCATCAGTCTTGCACAATTCACAGCACTCAACATAGCACATACCCTCCCCAGTGTCCATCACCCAGCCACCCTATCCCTCCCCTCCCACCCCCCAGCAACACTCAGTTTGGTTTCTGAGATTAAGAATCTCTTAGGGTTTGTCTCCTTCCTGATCCTGTCTTGTTTCATTTTTTTCCTCCCTATCCCCTACAACCCCCTACTCTGGCTCTCAAATTCCTCATATCAGAGAGATCATATGATAATTGTTTTTCTCTGATTAACTTATTACGCTAAGCATAATACCCTCTAGTTCCATCCATGTTGTTGCAAATTGCAAGATTTTGGGGTTTTGATGGCTGCATAGTATTCCAGAGTATATATATACACATCTTCTTTATCCATTCGTCTGTTGATGGCAAGAGCTGATTTAAACTACTGTAACCCCTCCGCCAAGTTTCTAGTTCTCTTTCTTCTCTGAGAAACTGTATGTGTCCTTGTGTAACCCCCATATGTGTTTTTCTCTTGCTGTGCTCATGCTGAAATGCATTTTGGCAAAGATAAAATGCCATCCCAGATGGGAAGTTCGTTGTCTGTGTCATGGGGCACTTTGCTGATGGAATGCAGGACTGCATGCCTTGAAATTGGACCCAACTCGTGGGTCAACATCTGTGTCCCAGGCTCTGCTCTTCAGCTCCCAGACCCCACTCCTCGTTGTCCCATGACATGGGGCAGTCCGTGGGCCTCCAAGACTGTGGGTGAATATTTCCTTGTGGGCAGGGGCCAGTGCTAATTTGCAAGGGTAAGATACTTCCTGCGGTTTCACTTGGCAAGTCCCAGGATGGACTCTAGCTCAGGAGATGATATTCCATTTCTTGTGACCCCAGCGGGGAGTTGGGGGGTGGGTTGTTGTACCTTTTCTGAAACTGGAGTTTTACCTTTTCTGAAACCTGATCTCCAGGAACAGGAATAGGTACCAGGCTGGCCTCATTTTAATCCACCTTAAAAGCCTCAGAAACCTTTGTGCATGGGACAAGGAGAGAAAAGGGGAGGAAGGGTGGCTTCTCAGCCCATCGTGTCCCCCCGCAAAACTTGTTGTCATTGAGCTGCCATTGATTGGACTCCTCCTCTGGGCCTCATTGATTTTCTCAAACAGCCCTGTGAAGGAGAAGCAGCATGGTTCCATTTTATAGATGAGGAAACGGAGGCCCAAAGAAATATCATGGAGTTGGAAACACAGCAGGTATCTTGAAGGCGTCGTCTGAGAGCATTTCTGCTTGGCTTTCAAGATGCCATCCAAGTGCCCTCACTCCTGGGAGAGCAGGAGGCCCAAGAACTCAGTCTCTGGCACCTAGATGGCTTGGGTTTGAATCTTGGCTTCACGTCTCCCTCCCTCGCTCTAGAGCCTGGGCAAATTCTTTGATCTCCCGGTGCCTCAGTTGTCCTTATCCATAAAAATCTCTCCTAGGATCAATGCAAGCATGGAGTTGCCCAATTACATGAAAGGCTCAGACCAGTGTCCAGCAAACCATTGGCACCAGAGAAACATTCTCCTGCAACCCACAACTTCTGTCAGGTCTTCGGCTTTTGAAAGGAAAATCTGATCTTGTCCTGCTGTCTTTGCTTAAATCCTTTCTCAGGGCTTCCCAATCTTTGTTGTCTTAGTGCTGAACTCTCCATCATGACCGCTACAATCCGATCTGAGTTTACATTCCCCTCTTTTCCCCCTCAGAAGTCATCCATGTGACACATTTCTTCCGACGCACCCCAGGACCTTTGTATCTGCTATTCCCCCACACCTTTCCCTTCCTCTCTTGGGCTAGTCATTCCTTCTCATCCTTTCCATGTCACTTTATACCCCTTTCCCTCCAGGTTGCACCTGTGTCTGTTTCACAAGTCTCTCACCATCTGGGACCAGCAGCCTTGTAGTACACGTCCTCACAGTAACGGCAGAGCACATAAGACTAAAGGAACATGAGATGTGCCTGGGGGCTATGCTAGAAAACCACTTCTGTCCTCATTGCCCTGGCCAAAGAGAGTCATAGGGCCATGCCTGGAGACATACACTCCACCCAAAGAGGACTCCCCCAGTGCGTCCCTCTCCAGTGCTTCTTGGGGCTCCTGGGCACAAAATCCCAGCCACTTCTGTGGCACGGTGGCTCATTGTGGTCAACGAGGTCATGATCTGCATTACCTGACTCCCAAAGATGGCAAGACCCATGAAGATTTTTGCAGATTTTATTCCCACCTGCCAGCACAGTGCCTGGCACACAGGTACTCAGTAAACATGGGAAGAAACAAGTGAATGCATCAGGCTTCCTGAGTTAGCCTGGGGGACTGGGCGGGACTCCTGGCCCTGGGCTCACTGCTCTCTATCTCCCTCCTTTGACTGGAGCAGGGTTCAAAGGCGAGCGGGACCACTGGCGCAGCGGCAGGACCATCTGCATCAAGACGCACGAAAGTGGCCAGAAGGAGATTGAGGCCTTCGATGCTGCCATCCTGCTCATTCGTAACCCCTACAAGGCGCTCATGGCCGAGTTCAACCGCAAGTACGGCGGCCATATCGGTTTTGCTGCACACGCCCACTGGAAGGGCAAAGGTACTGCAGGGATGGGGGTGAGGGGCAGGCTGCCATGCGGGGGTGGGCGGTACAGCTGGTGCTGGGTGCTGCCAGGGATCCAGAAGGGTTCCCCGTGGCCTCCAGCCCATGAGCTGCACCTGCTGGGAGTCTGATGGGGTCACAGGCAGCCGTCAAGGGCATGGGCTCAAGAGCGAGACTCCGTGGGTTCAAACCCCAGCTCCACCATCTTCTGGCACTTCGGCTTGTCCTGCCTATACAATGGGGTTAATAATAGTGGGGCTATAAGAGTTTAACCCTTTAAAAACACTCAGTAATTATGGAAATGGAGATCCTCATGTAATTGATATGGGATGGCTGGACGCAGTTTCAAGAGCCCTTTCCTGGGAGTCGGGAGACCAGAATCCAGCCCCATGGTCAGAATCCAGCCCATGGTCAGTGGCTGATGGCCAGGAGGTCACTCAAGAGCCCCCTAAGAACTCACAGAGCGTCATTTCAATGAACCACCTCCAGCAGCTCTGGGTTGTGAGGCTCAGAGAGGGTAAGTGACTTGTGCCAGGTCACACAGCTGAGGAGTAAGTGACTTGTGCCAGGTCACACAGCTGAGGAGTGACGATGTTGGCCCCACAGCCGTGAATCTTAATATGATCGGGGTTTGAGATTCACTTCTGGCACTTAGTAGATGACAGCCCTGTGGATAAAGATCTCAGTCCAGAGCCAGTGGCCCACGATCGTGGTGAGAGCGTTGAAGTCAGACCCACCCTTGAGCATCTTAAAAATCTTTAAGCCCTCTGGCTCTTAAAATCCCATATCCAAGGCATCTGGGTGGCTCAGTCGTTGAGCGTCTGTTTTCGGCTCGGGTCATGATCCCAGGGTCCTGGGATCGAACCCCGCATTGGGCTCCCTGCTCCGAGGGAGGCCTGCTTCTCCCTCTCCCACTCTCCCTACTTGTGTTCCCTCTTCCACTGTCTCTCTCTCTCTCTCTGTCAAATAAAAGCTTTATATAAAAAAAAAAAAATCCCATATCCATTATCACCCGCATCTCCATCACTGTAAGGAGAGTCTTGAAACCCATAATTAACCCCGTTTTAGAGATGGGATGAGCCAAGTTCAGAGAGGTGAAGAGGCTTTCCCTGGAGGTAGTGGACCTGGGGTTTGACCCCACACAGTCTTGCTCCTGAACCCAAGCCCTTAACCACTGAGCTATGATGATGGATGGGATAAAATGTTGATGGAACAGTGGGGTCAGTCAGTCCAGTTGGTGCTCCGTAAAGGGGAGCTCCCTCCACCTTAGCCTCCAGGAACCAGGCTGCTTCAGCCTCAGCCTTGAAGGGGTGCTCTCCACTTCACCCCTCCTAAAGCTGCTCCAAAGCACCCCCACACACTGTCCCCCACCAGAGGTGTTAACGCGGCCATCCTGTGGTTAATGATGTCATTCCTTAAAACCCCTGGGCCTGTCTGGCCAGCGGGGCCCTGGCTTCCCAGTTCAGTCCAGGGGGTCCTCTGTCCCTCCCCTTGCTTCATTCCCCCTCTCAGAGGGTGGAAGCTTAGGTGGTGACATTTGTTCCACTGTTCCCAGAAGAGGTTTCTGATTCATTTGTGGAACGGTTGGAAATGAACACTCAAGGCCAGGCTGAGAAGTCTGCAGGGGCACTTGGCAGAGGCCTGGCTGAGCAGAGACTTTGCCAGCCCAGCTGGAAAGGACCTGGGGGCGACCAAGCCCAGGGATCCTCAGCCCCTGCCACACAGCAGCCACACCTCCCTGGAGGAGTGGGGACAAAGGCCAGTGCCCCGACCACACTGGGACCATTGCTGGAATGCAACCTGGGCTCCGGTGTTTTTTTTAAAGCTCTCGCTGCTTCTAGAGTTCAGGTAGGACCCCAAACCTCGATTGACCCTCTATTGATTAACAGGGAAACTGAGGCCCAGAGAGAGGCAGGGACCTGCCAAGGTCATTCGGGCACCCAGGGACAGGAGTAAAATCCAACTGTCTGCCTCCCAGGCTTCCTGCTGCCCCCAGGGGGAAGAGCGGGGACTCCATGGGGCAGCTCCCAGGGCTAATTTCTTTGCATTCATTAGGTCATTTAAACCTAATTCCCAGAGGAGGTAAGAAAGGCTGCTGGTCACTGCAGCATTCCATTGCACAGGTGAGAAAACCAGCCCAGGAAGGGAACAGTCACGGTGCTGAGCGAGCTTGACCCCAGGCATTGGCTCCCAAGCTGTCTCTTACCTAGGGGTGACCCTGGCTTTGTGATGAGTTTACAGCTTGCCTGGCTTGGCACCTGGTCTCAGGTTCAGGCAGTTCCAGTTCCCAGGAGCTGCCTGGCCTCTTTTTCCTCCCTCGGGGCAGCTGGGAGCTTGCAAACCGAAGGTTAGGGAGGAGTCAGGACGTGCTGAAGCACGAGACTGCAGGGCAAGGGAGAGAGAAGGTTCCAGCACACGCATCTCCTGGCAGGGTGCCTGGGGTCCCCACAGTAGCCTGGGATGGGGAACCTTCTCCCTGCATCCCCTCCCGGGCCTGACCCAGGTCTTCAGGGCTCTGGGAGCCTTCCCCCAAAGAACCCCTTTCTTTCTTTGCTCTTAGCTTTCCCATTTGGCCCCCGCAGGCACTTGAGTTGAGACCCTGGCTTTAGAGTGCCCATGCCAGCCATGCTGGAACACGTAGCCTGGGGGAATGGGTTAGAAGCGCATATCCTCCAGCCCCACACCTTCCCACCCCACAACCTGCTGCATCAGAAACTCAGAGGGGGCCTGGCAATCTGTGTTTTCCCAATCCCTCCAGACGTTTCTGATACACACTCCAATTTAAGAGTTAACACCTTAAACCCTTGCTGCTCCAGGTGGGGTCTCCATAGCAGTGCCTTGACCCCACCTGGAAGAGGGTTTAGAAAAGCCCAGCTCTGCCCTCAGGATCCCTGAATGGGAATCTGCACTTGAAAAAGATCCCCGCCACACACCCCGCCCCCGTCACCTGAAGCTTCCAGTGCACTTGAATGTTTGGGCATCACTGCCTAGTGTGGGAGGGTTCCCCACCTCCCCCAAAAGCAGAGGTCCCCGTTGGGGAGCAGGTCCACCCCTCCCTGCCGGTGCCTGCTTTTCCATGTAGAGCTGGAGCAAGGCTCTTGCAACCCTCCCTGCGCCCCCCATTTTTGGTTCCATAATGTTAATTTTACAGTCTCCCTGGAGTGGGTCCAAAGCAAAGTTTTATGTGATATGATTACACAAGGTGAATTGTCCTAGATCCGTTTAATGAAACAGACTGTGTTTAATGATTCCGCAGGGAATTAAGTGCAGTTAAGCTATTAATCAGGCCCCGGTTCCTCCCCCTGGCAAGAGGCGGGAGCTCCAAGGGTGACTGTTTTGGCAGAACCGGGGCCAGGACCCATGGTCTGGGGCTCAGGGTGCCTTTATGACCCACTGGGACGGGGATCCTGTGCTCATCAGGGCTTTGGTTTGTAATTTTTATTCTTTTTAGTGAAGTAGTTCAGGAGCTCCCAGGAAGGAATCTGGGGGAGTAGGTGAGCAGCTATTGCTGAAGCAGTCTGGGGGCGGGGTTGCTCAAGCCTTGTTGGTGGGAAGCGCTGACCTAGCTGATGGGACATAAGGGGGTGCGTCTTGGTGACGCCAGGGCGCTTACCTCCAGAATCCTCGTACCAGCAGCTGACATTGAAGGAGCCACTGCTGGGGCCCAGGGCTGGGGTCCTTGCCCCTCTGCTTCCATTCCCTCTCACGTCCAGGATGCAGGTCTTAGCACAGTTCTTTCACTGATGGGTAAACTGAATCTTGAGGCGACCAACCAAGGTCCCCACGCTGCCACAGCTAACAGAGAGAGGAAGGGGGTTGTGAACACTGCCGTCTGCCTCCAAAATGGTCTGTGCCCAGACCCTGAGCCTTAAACGACCCCCGAAGAAGCACCCGAGGCTGGGACCGCCCTCTGCAGGCCCTGACCACCCTGCAGATGGGTCTTCCCTCTCCTTTTTTGGGGGGAGCTTGTGCAGCAACCCCCCCCAGCAAATACCTGAGATGGTTGGTCAGAAGTAGCCCAGCCTAGAAATGTGATCTGCTCGCTCCTGGGCAACTGAGTCCCACCTTCCTCCTGCTGGGCTTCTACGGTAAGAGCAGCAGGTGTCCGGACCCCGCAGGGATATGTGCGGGGGTGGGTGGAGGACTCAGGAGGGGGCAGACTCCCAAAAAAAAAAAAAAAAAAAAGAAAAAGAAAAAAATTACAACAGACTATGTACATGCTCTATGTTCCTCTAATCACTCAGATACATCTGGTCTTAACCCATTACAACAGTGTGGGCCCAATTAGCCAGACACCTTGTAAATCATCTATCCTAAAGATAAAAGATATCCTTGTCCCCAGCATTCACATTTCCCTAGTAGCAGCGGTGTTCTGGGCGCTGGGGGAGCAGGAGGCTCACCACGGGTCGGATGGGTTTTGCGAAGGAAGAGGAGCCCTTTATCATGTCACAGTTTGGCGGTGAGGAATTCCAATGTAGTTCAACAGCCGTTTGTTGAGACCCTGCTGCGGGTAAGGCAGTGGGAGGGAGTGGGGTGAGGCTGCTGGTGCCTGGGAAAGATTAGGACCTGGGCCCTGGCTGTGTGACCTTGGGCGGGTCGCTTCCCTTCTCTGAGCCTCCTGTCTCCTCACTGGTGATACAAGTCAGCAGTAGCCCTTTCCCTTCAGGGTACACTTTAGGATTAAATGAGATTGTAAGTACCCATCACCCAGCAAAGGAGGAGGATTTAGTTGTCAAGAAGCAACTGGGCTCCCCCAGCCCAGCTTGGGAGACTGATAAACCCTCGTTCAAAAAGCAGATCCCTTGGGGTGCCTGGGTGGCTCCGTGGATTAAAGCCTCTGCCTTCGGCTCGGGTCATGATCTCAGAGCCCTGGGATCGAGTCCCGCATCGGGCTCTCTGCTCAGCAGGGAATCCTCCTTCCTCCTCTCTCTCTGCCTGCCTCTCTGCCTACTTGTGATCTCTGTCTGTCAAATAAATAAAATCTTTTAAAATAAATAAAATAAAAAATAAAAATTTAAAAACAGATCCCTCTGGGGGGTGCGGGGTAGCGTTGCCTCTGTGAGCAGCAGGGGGTCTGGCTTCCGGGTTTCAGAGCACCTGCCTGTGACTGTCCAGCGGGGGCTCAGAATCCCTTTCTCCCTTCCCAATGTTCTCTGTGACCGCCCCCCTCCTCTACAGGGACTTCTCATTCTGTCCATTTCCGCAGCCCCACGGCTGGCTTGCAGCTCTTTGAGATTCTCTCTGGGGCTCCCCAAGCAATCAGCCACATTCTGGTGTAGCCTGTCTTCAAGCCAGACCACCCCAACACACCATTCCCTGTTCATGACAGTCCCCCCGCTGCCAGATTACTGCAGTAAGGTAATAAACTGAAAACAAAAACAAAAAACCCAAAACAACAACAAAAAAAACCATGATGAAAAGTAGAACAGTAAGGCAAAGATGACGAGATAGAATCTGACTTAAACTATACTCCCAGCCTGGTCTACTGGAGAGAGACAATATACACATGGGGGTTGTGGAGGGGGCAGTGAAGCCCAGAGGCAACACCAGCCTGGGCCTGGGGAGTCCGGGGAGACAAGGTCCTAGCTCAGAACAATGACAGGAAGAGAAACAGGCAGCATTTACTGAGCACCTACTGAGTATGGGGTGCCGTGCTAAAACCCTCAGAGACTGTTTTGTTTGTTTATGGGCAGTCACTTTTTTGTTTTAAATTCAAGTTAACACATAGTATAGATTATTAATTTTGGGTAGAATTTAGGAGTAATTCGTTGCATATAATACCCAGTACTGATTCTGTCAACTGCCTTCCTTAATGCCCATCACCCAGTTACCCCATCCCCCCAGCCAAATTTCATATGCTTTTATCCACTTCTCTATTCAAAGGTCCTACTATCCTCCTGTGAGTATATAACATTACTAAACAGGACAACTTGATCGTTCAAAGCCCAGAATTTGAAACCAGACTGTTTGGTTTCAAATCCTGGCTCTGCCATTGCATGGCTGTGTGACCTTCAGCAAGTTACTTGACCTCTCTGTGCCTCACTTTTGGGTTCAAGGAAGAGAACGGTTGCCGTGAGGAATAAGCAAATTACTAGCTACACTAATACAAACGTATATAAAAACACAATAACATGCATTTATGGAGAAGGCTGGGGCGGCCATGCAGGAAGCACCTAAGAGGGGTTATGGTTCTCTCCAAAGACAAGGAAAGGCTGAGAACATTGCAGGTAGCAGCAACATTATGGAGGTGGGAGGGACCGGGCCAGTGTGGGATCTGAAGGAGCGAAGGGCGTTGCCGTAACTGCCTTGATCCTGACCCTGGTCCTCTGGGCGCCCCTCCCCTTCTCTGACCCTGCCCTGCCTCCTCTCCCCAGAGTGGCCGGAGTTTGTGAGGAACTACGCCCCGTGGTGGGCCACTCACACGCTGGATTGGCTCAAGTTTGGCAAGAAGGTGCTGGTGGTGCACTTTGAGGACCTGAAGCAGGACCTCTTCGTCCAGCTGGGCCGCATGGTGAGCCTGCTGGGCGTGGCCGTCAGGGAGGACCGGCTACTGTGCGTAGAGAGCCAGAAGGACGGCAACTTCAAGCGCTCGGGCCTCCGAAAGCTCGAGTATGACCCCTACACGGCCGACATGCAGAAGGTCATCTCGGCCTACATCAAGATGGTGGACGCGGCCCTTAAGGGGAGGAACCTCACGGGCGTCCCTGACGACTACTACCCCAGATGATGCCTGGGCTGGGGACGAGGGGGTTGGGAGTACCCACCCAGCTGGGGTCTCGAGATTCTCCTCCCTTGGGGAACCTCCCCCCAACCTGTCCTCTCTTTCTGGTTTGGGGACAATCCCCTCAGTGTTGGCCCTCAGTGGAGTTTCCTGCATGACGAAGGAAGCTCAAGGGAAGAGACCGTGGGGGAACTCACCACCCAACTCCCTGCCCCCCTTGGAATTGGGGCTGCTGGTTTGGGGCACTCGAGCCCCATGGACCCTTGCCTGTCTCCGGTGCCCCAGGCCCCACCACTCAGGATCCTGCCTGTAGGGAGCGAGGGCTCACAGTGTCCCCAAGAAGCAGGTGTCCCACTGCAGAAATCAAAGATGTTGATTCGAGAGCTAAAGGGATGGTCAAGGGAGAAAGTGGCCCCGGGTGCTCTTCCCTTCCGGGCTGAGCGTTCACAGCTTCCCCTTCTCTCCTCCATGCCCCAGGGAAGCAGGGACTCCAACATGGACCCAGGCCGCTTCTGCTGGAAGAAGGGTCTCTGACAGTCGGTGGGGGCTATGGAGGCAGTGGTACCCCCCAGGAGGTTAACAGGCACTGCCATGTGGGGGGCCAGCATGAGGAGCCCACCCCCAGGTCCCATGGCTCCGAGAAACAATCTGGTTGCCAGAATGCTGCCCTTCCCCGCTCCCCCCAAACTGTACCCAGGAGGGGACCTTGGCATCTTTGATCCCATTCCCAGGGGTCCTCAGGTGCCAGCAGTTAACTCCAGGATGGTCACATGCCACAAGCAGAAGCTTGAGTAAGACTGACAGCGCCCAGGGGCAGCTCTACCACAGTGGAGCCCAACACAGTGACCCTATACTGCCCTCTGACCCCTAGCGGGGGTCCTTTGCTATCCAGGTGAGAGAGCCTGGAGTGCTCGACATCAGGTGGGGACCTTGACCCACACAGATCCCCCCACTACCTTCCCAGATCACCAACCACCCCTTGGTCCTAGTCCCTTGGGGCCAGCTTCCATGGAAATGATTCTTTAAGGGAGAGGATGGTTCTTTCGTTTCCATAGAAACACACCTCCCTTGGTGGTAAGACATCAAACCAAAGGATTCTCCAGGACCTGGGTTGCTAACCATCAGTCTCAGAAAGCACTGATTCAGGACCCCATCTGTCCCATCTCGGATCCCAGTGGCTTCACATCCTGCCCACACCTGCTCCGTCCCCTACAACATAGACGCAAAAGCCATAGGTACCAGAGCTTTGCTCTTCTGTCCGGAGCAGCCCCCCAGTCAGCCCCTCTGAAGGCTTGGGGTGCAGGTAAATGCTCTTTCCCAAATACCCAAGAGACTATGGAGAAGGTGACTGTAAAGAGATCTATTTTTTTAAGAGGAATATAACTACTACGTTCTGCCCCTTTGCACCTGGCCACGCAAAGAGAAGCAGGGCTTAGGGACTAGGCCTGTGGTTCTCTTCCCTGACCCCCTCCTCTGTGAGATTTGCTCCCCGCCCAGGCTCAGGGCCCAGCCGGGGAGCCCGGAATGTATTTTGTACCATGTTTCTCCCCCACCCCCCCACCCCAGGCTAGTTTCTAGTCTTCTGAGAAGCAGTAGACAGCATGGCCTCCCCTCCCACGGGGACATCCGCTCTCTCTGGGAGCCGTGGGGTCTGAGACCTGGGCCCGTTCTTCTGGCGGTCGCCTCAGGCCGCAGGCCTCTGTCTGAAGATTCCTCAGGTCAACACCGTCATTAAAAGCGAGTTTTGTTGCTGATTCTACCACGTGGTAGAGTGTTGTGTAAGGGGAGTTCACAAACGGGTTTTTCTCTTTTTTTGGTTCTGGGGCAGGTAGTTGTGTCTGTGCTTGAGAAGTTGGGGGGTGTGGGGGGTGTGTGTGTGTGTGTAAAATTGTGTTCACCTGCCCTTTTGAGTGAAGAGACTATGTCCCCCATGTTCACATGACAACTTTTTTTAACCACCCCACTTCTAAGGCGTTTGTGTCAGCTCCCAGGTGTAGACAGGAGCGGGCCGGAGTACCTGAGCCCCTGCCAGAGAAGCGGGGGGTGTCTTCTGCCTCTGCCCTTGATCCTTGGTAAATGTGCATATGTGGGGGGGGGGGGCGGTGCATGGGTCCAGAAGAGGTTGTCTGGGAGGGATGTCCATTCTGTTTGCGAGCAACAGTGTGTCCTGGGTGTGCGGTGCTGTGCCCCTGTGCGTGTAGAGGGAACCCGTGAGCACACAAGGGGGCGGAGCAGGCAGCTTCTGGGAGGGACGAGGGTTTACATACAGCCTCGTGGATGGAGATGGGGAGGGAGGTCGGAAGCAGAGCTGGGGCAGGCAGAGGAGGAGCAGGGAGAGACTCCCCCCCCCCCACCCCCCGCCACACCCCGGCATGGGGGAGTGCTCAGGAGGAGTGGGGAGGAGGCCTTTTCCCCCAGCCCTGGGTTCTCTGAAATAGAGAGGGCAGGGGAAGAGCTCAGGGAAGGGGAAAGTGTGAGGCTGCTCCAGGACCAAGGGCAGGGTCTTTCTCTTCTGGGGCTTCAGAAAGCCTTCTTCAGGGACTCACCAGCCCCAGGCTACACCCATCAGCCAACTCTGACCTGTTCACAGACTGAGCCCCAGTCCTAGAGTCTTGATCCCGGGTGACCACTGAGTCCCAATTCTGAACATCTACTGATCGACAATCGCAGTCTTATACTGATGCCCAGTTCCAGCCACGCATCAAACCTTGGCCTTTTCCATACTGAGTCCTGACCCAGGTCATTGGCAGCACTCCAACCTGAGGCACAGGCTAAACCCTGACTTGCCCCCAAGCCTGGGCCGAGGGTGTGTCTGGACTGAGCCTGAATCCACCACAGCTGATTCTGGCTAGAGACTGAGCTCCGCTCCTGGCCCTGGAGGAGTCTTTTCTCTTGGTTCCCTTGGGCCCTCACCCAACCACAGGTGGAAACTTGACTCTGGTACCAAATAGAGTGCTGAAGCCCTATGCCAATTTCTTTGACCTTGTCTATGATCTCTTCCTCCCCGACCAGAAGCGACTATCTAGCCCCACGCTCCCCTAGACACTCCTCCCCAGATCTCACAGATCCTGTGCCGTGTCCTTCCCACCAAGGAGGACAGCGGGGCAGGGGGCTGGTGAGATGGACAGTTGAGCAACTTCTCTGGCTGGTCTCTGCCCGTCTTTACCGCACTTCTGCAACCCTCTTGAAACAAATCTGTACTCCAGACCCAAAAGGAACCAAGGTAGCATTGACTCTTTCATTCAACAGATATTTATTGGGCATCTCCTGTGTGCCCAGCCCTGCTCTAGCGTCTAGAGACTTAAAGAGGAACAAAACCGATAAAAAAAACCCCCGCTCCTGCCAAGCTTACATTTTACCAAGTCCCAAGCAGACACTTGTTAGTGGCAGAAAGCTTTTGAGGATGTGATGCGGGGCTGAGAAGGCAATGACCCTATGTGGGTTCTGGCCGACCCCCCGGAGGTTACTGATGACCCTAACGGATGGGGGTGATGCACACCGATGCCTGAGACTGGCTGGAACTGGCCTGAGCCCCACAGAGGTCACAGCAGAACTGGGCCTTCTCCAGAAAGTCCTTCCGCATGCACAGAGGAACAGTGCCCCCTGGGGATTCCGGGGTTACCCAGTTGGGGGGGGGGGTGCCTGGCTCAGAAGTCAGGACAATTGGCTCATCCTGTGGTCACCTCTAGAAGAGAACAGGCAGCACCTGGGGTCTGCTGATAGCTGGGATTTCCTCCCTATTTGCATAGTAACCAGGAGGCCACTGCAAACATTCGGTGGACAGTGTGGGAGGGGGAGAAAGATGAGGCAGAGGGCTGTTGGGGGCCCATCCCACAAGGACCCATCTCATCCCAGAGGCCCAGACCCCTCCCCCACCATTGGTTTCTCTCCATTTTCCTTCGCCTGTGCCTCCTGGGCTCCATTTCCCTCTTTCTGCTTTTATTTTCTCCAGCTGCTCATTAAACCTCTTCTGTCTTGTCCTCACCAACCCCCTCTCCCTCCATCCCCCCCTTCATCCTTATCTCTTCCTTGATTTCTGTGCTGTCTGTGCCAGCATCTCTCTACCTCTTGATCTCTGTCTCCCTACCTGTCCCTTGCTCACCCCCACCCCTTTTGTCCTCTCCTGCCTCCTCCTCCTCCTCTTCCTCATCTTCCTGGAGAGTGGGGGGACAACTCTGCAGGAGGCAGACACAGTAAGACAAATGCTACCCGGGCTGGTAACCAAGGAAGTGGTTTCCTTAGCAACAGAAATGCAGGCACGCGTGCCACTGCCCGGTCCCTTAGCGGTTACAGTAAGTACCGAGAGGAGGAAGGCAGCATCAGGCCAGGAGACAGGAGTCCCCGGAAAGATCACTGTCGTGACCCTGAGAAGGGACAGTGCTCAGAGACCAGCTCAGTGCCTGGCACTCTGAGGACACTCAAAAATAGGAGGGGTGAGGCGGGGCAGAGAGAGGCATGCAGAGGAATCCACAGGACCAGGTGACCGGCTGGATGTGGGGAGGGGGCAGTGACAAAGAAGGCAGTGGGGTCACCAAGGTTCTACTAGGCAGCTCCCAGGTGGGGGTCCTGTGACAGACGGAGAACGTGGGGCCCAGGAGCAGGTGAGGGCAGGGAAAAAAGACGGCAAGCCTTCACCATCTAGCTGGGGTGAGACCGGGGGAGGGAAGGTGAAGACAGGCACAGAAATGCCTCCTGCAATTCTCCCTGTAAGAGAGGGTCAATAATTTGCTTGGGTGACACAGAAATTAGTGGCAACGCTTGGATTCGAGCCGGGGCATGATCCAGAGCCTGTCCACAGAGAGGGTTGACGACGGAAAGAGAGGCAGAGAGAGAGACAGAGGAACAGAGCAGTGACTTAAATCACTGATTTGGCACTTTTTCCCACCAGGACAACACAAATATGTTCATTTTTGAGAACTGAGGGAGGGGAGGACAGGACAACAGTGCCCAGCAGTACGATCGTTATTACAGCTATAAATAGTTGTCCCCAAAGAAAACACCTGTCA